CACACACACACACACACACACACACTCTTTGTGGGTGTTGTAGGTGTCAAGATATGTTTTCCTCTCTCCTCGCGCCTGAAAAGGAGTAGAAGAGATTGTCATGAGAGAGGCGAAAACAATATATGTTTCAGTGTGCGCATGTACAATGTCACACACACACACACACACACACACACACACACACACACACACACACACACACACACACACACACACACACACACACACACACACACACACACACACACGCACGCGCACACGCACACACACACACGCACACGCACACGCACACACCCATCCACACACGCACACATACTTGTACATGTAGTGGAACCACGACGCGAGGGAGGATGCAAAGGCACCAGTGCTGGTTGTGTACTGTGCTCCGTGACTGTACGACACGAGCGCTCGCGCAATGGACTGCAGTCAACGGGCGAGGGCGTGCATGTGCGGATGTGAGTGAAACAACACAAGCACGCGCACTTAAACATGCTGTCGAGGGCCAAAGAGCGAGCGAGGACGTGTGTGCGTGTGTGCGTGTGCGTGTGTGTGCACTTGTTCATGTGCATCTACGCTTGCATGTGTGTGCATCTACGCCTGTGTATATGTGCGTGTCACCGTGCAAAAGGCCTGCACAGTCACCTGGAGGAAGCTCCTGATTGGGGCGAGGTGGTAGAAGGCGAGATGGCGGCCAAAGAAGCATTCCCGCGCCGCAGACTCAAGCTCCGTCATCAGCCGGTCCTGAAACGCAACCTGGCACCGTGGGATACAGGGACTGCAGATGAGCGCTCAGGTGTGTGTGTGTATGTGTATGTGTATGTGTGTGTGCGTGTGTGTGTGTGTGTGTGTGTGTGTGTGTGTGTGTGTGTGTGTGTGTGTGTGTGTGTGTGTGTGTGTGTGTGTGTGTGTGTGTGTGTGTGTGTGGAAGTGCGTGTGTGCGTGTGCGTGTTTGCGTGTGCGTGCGTTCGCGCGTGCGTGTGTGTGTTGCTCTCACATGCACACACCCATCTCTCATCTCTCACGCAATGTCACACACACACATACCACTCATCTCGCGCATACGTACGTCTGTTGTCTTGAAGAAGATGTCTTCGTTTCCTGCGTGCTGCGCCAGCTCCGCCCCCTTGCCAAATATCCTGTCACGTGTTGTGGAATTGTGGAGAGTGAAGTGATGAGAGAGCACAACAAACGTCGATTGGCGAAACTGCAATCACAGCTGCAACAACGCAGCCACACCTACTGCTACAGCAACACAGCCACACCTACTGCTACAGCAACGCAGCCACATCTACTGCTACAGCAACGCAGCCACACCTACTGCTACAGCAACACAATCGCATCCGCAACTGCAGCAATACAGCAACCATCATGCGCGCCTCCTCGATAAACACTGTCCAGGCCCATGATGAAGTGTCACAAACACACACACATATCTCCTGGTCCGCTCACCTGACGTATGCGTGCAGCACAACAGCGCCGTGCTCCTGCAGCGCTTCGGACAGCTGTACTTTATCCGCAGCGGTCTTGCTCGACTCTTGGTACTGCGCCAACACGCGCTGTTTGTGATGTGTGCGTGTGTGCGTGGTGTTTGTGTACGTGGTGTGTGAGTGTGTGTGTTGGCGGGACATGGTGAGCACAGCCAGATAAAGAGATGGACAAATTTACTCGCACAGACACACACAGACACACAGACACACACACACACACACACACACACACGCACAAACAGACATACACACACACACGCACACAACCCCTCTTCCCCCCCCCCTCTCCCCGCCTTTACCTTGATGGCGAGAAGAATGCTGGAGAGAATGGTCATGAGGGCGTGGTAGCCGTTGTAAGGCGCAAAGTCGCCGACGCGATAGGAGCGCGCACGACGTGCAATGTGTGGCAGCTCCCAATCCACAATGTGCATGGCGGCGATGGTGTTGAGCACCGCCGTCTTCAAGTTGTGGTCAATCTCTGCCGTGCGCTCTGGGCTGGCACCACGGCGCCAGGCCGCTGTGAAGCCGCCAACCATCGTCGTTGCTGTTGTCGCAGCCTTTGCTTGCTTGTTGGGCGATTTTTGCTTGGCCTTGGCCTTGGCTTGCTCGGCTTCTCGCTCCGTCAGCTCTGTCTGCACCTCGGCCAGGAGGAATCGCACGAGCGCAGCGAGATCATGCGCCGTCTCCGGCTTTGATGCCATGACTTGTGCGTCGTGCGCCGCCTCGTCCTGCTCCGTGTCTTCTTCGTCTGCGTGCTGTCGTGCCTTGGATGCTGTCCTTGTTGCCGTTGTTGTTGTTGTTGTCTTTGGTGGTGGTGTTGTTGTTGGTGGTGGTGTTGTGTCCTGGTGTTGTTGTTGTTGGTGCTGTTGATGATGATGATGATGGTGGCGTGCGCCAGGCGAAATGGCCGCGTCCATGGTTCCCACTGCACCCGTCGTCGTCGTTGTTGTCGTTGTGGTGTTGGTGGTGGAGCGAGTAGAACGTGGCTCATGTTCTACTGTCGTTGTGTGCGGCGTGTCTCCCGCCTGCCCTCCTTGCCTTGCTTCCATCCTGCTCCCTCCTGGTGGTTCGTGTCTTGGTTGCGGGCAAAGGAGATGTGTGTCATCGTTGTCGTTGTTCGTCGTTGTGTGTGTTTGTTTGTGTGTCGTCTCCTGGTTCGCAATGCTGAGTCAGCAATTTCCTGCGAGCGGAGCAAGAACACGCAAGCAGCAGAAGGAAGCTTCTCGCCAACCGCACAAATCCCGCAAATCACACACACACACGAACACGAACACATACACGTGGACGCTGCAACAACGCCTGTGAGTGCCTCACGCCTCGCTTGCTTGCCTCGCCTTGGGGTCCATGTGTGGATGTGGGAGAAAGGGCCAAGAGGGAACGCATTCACCTCTCTTCCCCCAGTCGTTCCCTCTTGACAGCCCTTACTTGCTTGTCGTGCAACTGCAGTGCTCCTGATTGTTGCTCGTCCTCACTCATCCACTGTTCTCCTGTTGCACTGCTCTTCTTGTTCCGTTGTACCCAGCAGTACGAATTGACCACCGTCAACAACCAACAAGCACCATGGTGAGCGAGTGTTGGGTGGACTGTGGTCCAATGTGGTGCTGTCCCTGTGGGTTGCAGCTCACTGGCTTTGTCACTTGTCCTGGTTGTTGATTCGCACGCGTCACCGCCATCTGTCGCTTGTTGTGCGTCCCTCCTCGCTCACGCGTTTGCTTGGCTGCCTTGACGCATGCAGAGCCTTCGTCGCTTCATCCCCCTCTTTGACCGCGTCCTTGTCCGTCGCGTCATCCCCGAGGCGGTGCGTCTGCAGTGCTCGTGTAGTGTGTATGTGTGTAGAGTGTGTAGTGTGTGTGTAGTGAGTGTAGAGAGAGAGTGTGTGTGTAGTGTGTGTAGTGTGTAGTGAGTGAGTGTTATCGAGTGAGTGTGAGTGTGTGTAGTGTAGAGTGTGGTGTGTGTGTGTGTGCATCATCGCCCTCCCCTCTTGTCTCTGGTTGCGCTCTTAGTCTCGTTTCCATTACCAAGGCACCAACCACACCCACTCACCCATCCTTCACTCTCCACATTGCAGAAGACAAAGGGCGGCATTCTGCTCCCCGAGCAGGCACAGAAGATGCCCAACGAGGGTGTTGTTGTTGCCACGGGCAAGGGTCTTCGCACAGAGGTACAGAGCGCTTGAGACCATGTGTCTTGATTGTCGCGCATTCTCGTCTTGCCGTTCAGCACACACCCACACCCACGCACAATACCTTGCATAATGTCGCTCACACGTACCTCTCACAATATGTCTCTCACGCACACATTCACACATCTTCACTCACACGCACACACATTCGCACACACACATGCACACATTCACACATTCACACACACTCGCACACACACACACTCGCACACACACCACACACACACACACATACCACACACACACACACACACACACACACACACACACACACACACACACACCCACAATGCACAGTCTGGCGAGTTCATGCCGTGTGCAGTGAAGGAGGGCGATAAGGTGCTTCTGCCCGAGTTTGGCGGCACCAAGGTCACCATCGACGACCAGGTACACACACACACACACACACATGTATGCGTGCGTGTGTGTGACAAATCTGTTTGCGTGAATGCATGCATGCATAATGCGTGCGTGCGCTTGTTTTGTTGTTGATGTGCACACAGCCTTTCGCTTGTTCTCCAATGTCTCATCTGCTCATGGTCTGACATCGCCACACGTTGTCCCCCTCCCTCCTCCCTTCCTGCACTCTCAACCTCCATAGGATCTGTTCCTCTTCCGTGACTCTGACATCCTCGGCACGCTCGAGTAAACCCTCAATGCTGCGGTTCCCCCTCCCCCCAACCCCGGAGATGACACGTGAACCCCTTCGTGTGCACGCGTCCCAACAACCCCGAAACACCACCACACACAGCCCTCGTCGCCCCCTACCACAACCAGTCGTTAGATCTTCCAATCCCCCCCCTCTCTCTTTTTGTATCCTCCCTTTGTCTGGTTCTCTGAGTGTACGCCCGGTGTGTTTTGCGCCCATATGGACTTGTGGATATGACACTAAAGCTCCCCAAGAATTGCATGAGATGTGAGGCAGGTCTTTAATGGTGTGACAAGAGTTAGCGGGCGTGTGGATGTGTGCGAAGGAGGGATGGGAGTAGAGGAGGGACGGGGAAGGCAAATGGGGGGGGGGGGGGAGGGAGCGAGACTGACAGGATGGAGATCAAGTTACGAGGCAGGCGGACGAGTAGGTACAGACAGACAGACAGATGGACAGACACACAGACACAGACACACAGACACAGACACAGACACACACACAGGCACACATACGCGCACACACACACACACAGACACACAGACACAGACACACAGACACAGACACACATAGACACACAGACACACATAGACACACAGACACACAGACACAGACACACAGACACAGACACAGACACAGACACAGGCACAGACACACACACACACGCGCATGCAAATAAGGGTTCCATTACAGTCGAC